AAAACAATAATAAAAATAAAAAGATGAAACCGGAACGGCCCGTTCTAAAATCGGAACGAGCCGTTCTGGGTTCAGGTGTTTTCAAAAAAATTGTCATCCACGTGGCATTCACGAAGCATCCACGTATGCATCTACGTGGCATCCACGTGGCCAAAAGTTAACTCCGTTTAATAATTTGGACGGAAGTCACAAATTGAAATCAAATAATATATTTGGGACCAAATTGAAACCAATTAATTTACTTGGGACTAAATTGAAACCAAAAATAAAAGTGAGACTAAATTGAAATAAACAATTTAATATAAGGGACCTTCTTTTATCTTAGAATTTATAGTAGTGTAACCCTAACAATATATGTAACATTTTCCATAATATTCTTTGTAACACTTTTTCATTATAATAAAACATAAAATATTTGAAAAAAAAAATAAATTAAAAAAGAATATTTTACTACGTAGATGTCTAAATTTGGTACAGAAAAATTCAGCCCTCATTATTTAGTGTACTGAATTCTGTCATTTGTGCTAATAATTATCATTAGTTCATCTACAAACGCGTCTGTGAATCTCTTCCGTTCTCATATTAGTGCTAGAACAATAATAGTTACGTAGAAATTAAAATTATATAGAATTTTGTATTTTTTTATATTAATTACAATGACAACAACATAATTTAAATTTTGAATATATTATTTCAACTTCCCATTACTACTAAGTTGACTTCGGTGATTCATTATATATGAAATTTTGTTAAGCGTCAATGGTGATAATTTTCCTATGAATGGATCAATATCAATTCATTGAGCTGCAGGAAGTAAGGAACAATAACAACATTACATTCATATATAAATGGGGAAGGAACAAGAACAAATTCTCTGCTAATATTTTTCAGTTTCATTCATTAATTCTATGATTATCGGTGTTTTAAGCACGTCAATTTGTTCTGCTCGTGGGGGAATGGACAAAAGATTACTGTCCGCGTATACCAAAAAACTTCTGTGTAGTTCTGATGTTTCTATGAATCAGGAATCCAATGCTGCAACCGCAGCCCTCAAAGCCAATGGTTGTTAAACAAGTGGAGGCACATGCAATCATCCATATTCCTTTAAAGTTTGAAAATGTATATAAAAGGTACAACTTGGCCATCATAACAAGCAAAGACAAAAGTTTATGCCTGTAACAAAAAAGAGAAAAGTAAAATAATAACAGTACATACTCCACTTTTTATGTTCCAGTTTGGTGGTTGACTTGCACCAACCAAAATCAATAAAATATAATCAAAGTAATCAAAAGAGAACTAGGGCATGATCAACATATAAGTGTATAAGGTTCTGCAACACGTTGATTCAATGATTCCACCCCAGATCGATCTTAGCTCCACTTGAATGAAAAACGAAAACTAATTAAGTACCTTCAAATAATCATGATATCATGTCTACTAACAAACAGGCCAAGAAAAAAATCTTGCTTCTTCAGTTAAGTGTTTTCATCAAAGCAAGGAAGGATAAGCATTGTGCTTCTGATTAATTAATATGAACCTGCAAAATGTTCAAAAACAAGACACATTAGATATTAAGTGCATATTGGATGCATCCAAGCAAGAATCATATGTTAATTTTAATGGAAAAACAACTAATAGTTGCTTCCTTGATCCACATCAAGTGGCATCAGATGTGTTACCAAACACACACTGAAATGTCTAAGAAATTGTTTTGCATTGGAACCAAAAGTGGCATTCTATTATATATCTTTGAAAACTCAAGTGAAAGATCTGGAAGAAGTTTCTACAATGTATGGTTGAGCCCTAAAAGAGGTTTCTCAGAGACAGATACACAGAGCCCGTTTGGCATACTGGTCACCTCCAAATTGCCATCATGTGGCCATCAATGGAGGTGGACAGAATGCCAAAATGTCTATGGAACAAGACCTCTGAGAAACCCTAGAGAGCAAAGGAAAAGCACAAACACAAGGAAATGGAAATATTGTGGCTTAAGTTTACTGAAGAGAAAGGTTGTAATTAATAAAGAAATATGAGGAAGAAACAACAAAGTTTTGTATCATTGTATTTTGAATTTAGGAGTAGCTTTTTGTAGAAAGAGGGTGCATCAGCGTGCATGGAGTTGTACGATCTGTGGGGATATGGTGGGCGCTTATGTTGCAATAAAGATAAAAGACTTTCTATTAATTCAACCTTGGTTTTGTCAGCATAAGTTTACATGTAAAATCTGCTTATATTTGTGTAAGACATTGAAAATTCAGGTGAAGCTATATTGAAACTTGGCTTTGTAGGGTATTATTTATGTTGCACCTGGTTGCAGAAATGTGCCTTTGGTTTCCCTTGACTATATGATTGGCATGCGCTTTCGCTATGCTTTTTTGACTTGCTGCAAAAGGAGGATGCAAAATGTGCTGTCCATGTCTCCCACTTAGTTTATAATTACTCTGTCAACTAACTGTTATTAATTCAAACTTTTTGTTTCAATGCAAATACTACTAAAAGTCTTTTTCTGCATCAGTGAAATAGAAGAAACTACATATATGCAGCATATCATTTATAATTATTAAAGAGTATGGTATAATTCCTGTCTAGGCATTAACAAACAAATCTAATCTGCCAAAATGTTGTTGATGTTGAAGTAACTAATTAACCAATAATGAATTCTTAAACATGGTTTATGGTTATTTATGGCAAGCGGGGCACTTGTACCTTGTTTTGCCAAAATGTTGGTGACGTTTGTACAAATTCAGTCATAGTCGATTGAACCTGTAGAAAATTAAATCGGGCATTTTGGATTTTACTGATCAATAAGATCTAAACTAGACTTGTAATAATTTAGAAATATTATTATTAAAAAATTATGAAAATTGTGTTTGCAATAATTTAGAAGTAATTTTTTTAGTTGATTATAAATTTTGGGTTTATAATAATTTAGGATTATTTTATTTGGACTTTTTTATGATAGTTTCATTATTGAGTTGTAATTAACATCCAATTGTATCGAGTGTGACTTTTTACTAATGTAAGGTGGGGGAAAATTATTGATATTGAAGGTTGGTCTCCTCTGTTACCTTTTTAAAAAAGGGAACAACTCTCTTCTCATGAGTTGTAAAATGTAAGTATAAGGGATTATAAACATTTTTATAATAAGTTTTCTTGAGTAAAATCCCCATTCAGTGTAAGTTTATCACATACACTTTTTGTAACCAAATTTTTTTGAAGTTTATAGGTTTGGGCTTATAAATGAGCAACATACTCCTATTAAAAAACTAGCTAGAAAGTAGAAATCAAATTTCATCCCACATTTGTTTCCGCATCAGTATATCTCTCTCTGTCTGCGTTTATCTTGTTTTTCACAACATCACCTTTCCTTAAACAGAAAATTAAGTCAAACACAATTCTATAAATTAAAAAACAACATTAATGGAGAAAACATTAAAAAAATAATGTTGTAAGATTTCGCTGTCTTTAGTACCAAATTTTAATTCAAATCACTCATTTTCAATTTAAATGACTTCTTAGACTTAAACAAAAGGTAAAATTCTTCCTTTTGTTTTTGAATACAACAAAAAAATCCCGTTCGAGTAACTAAAGTACCATATCATTGTCATGCTCAGGTAAACTAGCAATAAATTCTATATATAATTCACTATAAATTTCAAACTACATGAACCTTCTGACTAGTAAATTTTAAATACATATACTCAATTTTTCTCTTTCTTTGCTCTAATTCTATTGCGATATACAATAAATATGAATAAACAAGAATAATACTCTCGATAGTTATGAGAACTTTTCCCTATGAGTTCTTCTTAATTTGATGCTCCATTTCAAGGAAACAATTGATTCAATGGTTTGTAGTTTCCTCGTGCATCTTCAATCAACATAATGAATTATCATTATGCAGTTCATTGTGTAAGTCTATCATCAATCTATGTTGAAATGCTACTTCCAAACGCAGGACTGTCATCTTGAACGATTACATCAACTGGGTTTTCCATTGCCCACACAGCAGCATCTAGATATCCAAGCTCAAAGAGTCGATCAAGAATTGCGTCTTCTGCTGGTTCAAGTGCCCAGTTGAAAAGCTGCAATGAATTCATGCAGAATATTAATTTACTTACCCCTAAGAAAATTATTATGTTAATTCACAGAATGCAGGGTTACCTGTCGTGGGCTACACACGTTTTCAGGATTGCAGTCTGGACTAATTCCTATCCCTTGCAATCCCAATCGACTTGCTGGGAATGCACAAACACGAACCTGTGAAAGAGGTAAATAGTCACAGTTTGAAACGTGACAATATATAAACGTCATAAATCATAGATCTGTTTAGTCACATCTGAATTGAAACACATGAATCGGAGTGCATAAGAATAAATATTTACAATCATGTCATTCACTCAAACCTGCCAAGGTTCAGTATAGTTAACTATCCTGCTATCCAGAACACCCTAACTTTTCGTTTCTTATCAGATGATCCAAGAAAGTCAGAATCATTTTTTTAGCCACCACGTTGTTACCTTAAGTCTTCAAATTAGTTATATTGAATAGGAATCACGGGGTTTCAAGTATTTCAAAGCTCATTCAAGCAGATAATCGACAGAGGAAAATGCCAAAGGATCGATTTGAAACTGGAAAGTACCTTGGAATATGAATATCCTAAAATGACATTTCCCACACTGAAGTTTACCCCTTAATCAACAAATATTGGTAGCTTATCTAGTTAAGTCATCATTTGGAACGATGGAAGTAAACAGAGAAAAACTGGAGTAAATCAGCCCATCCCATGCAACTTCACTCTTTTGGAAGAAAATAGAATGTAAAGAAATAAAAAAAATTAGGAGTTATAGCAACAAACTATTTCTAACACACTCTACTGTTTGTTTTGTTAATATTTATTGAAAATTATAAAATTGAGAGAGACAAAAATGTGTTGCTAACATTTAAAAAAAAAAAAAAAAAATATGCAGCTCACATTAAAATATTTTCTTCCCTAGACAAGTGATAAAACTGGTAGTGAAGAGAAAAGTTAATGAAATGACAAGTATACTTCTTTCCCAATTATATTTTGTTACATTGCAAAGATTTAAATGTCATTTAACAAGATCATTTTTTTCTCATTTGTCTCCATCCAAACAATAAAAGAGAAAATTAATTTTTCTTTTCATTTTCCCTCCACTCATTTTCTCTTTGCATCCAAACAAAAATGTTGTATGGGAATTTTACTCAATAACCATCCCAATCTTTGTAAGGTCTCCCAAGAAGTGACCAAACGAGTAGTGCATGCAATGCAATCATATTTTCCTTGCAAACTAGAATGATTACTGAATTTGGCCTGGATAGATAATTTCACTGGAAATTAAAAAAGGTCTTCCAAGGAAAGAAATCCCTTAGATAATAGTATTTCATATAAGTAAATTAATAGATTGTACATTTCAGCAAAAATTAATAGAAAGTACAAGTAAAGCAACATTTTTCATAAACCTCAAAGTGCACTTAAACGGAGGTTTCAACAAATAATCAATCGATTGAATCAATAATACAATTTGTATATAGCAAAAATACCGTTTGTGCAGCAGAGGTCGGTGGCATAAACAATGTCAAACCCCCATCAATGCATAGTCGATTTCGAAACATCGTTGCTGGCCTTGGTGCAAGATATCTGGAGTGAGTATAAGTAAGTTCTAAATTTACTTAATAATTTATAACGAGTAAAAAAATCACATGCAACCAAGGAAATATAGTATACTAACAAATCACCCTGGAATAAAGGAAGAAGTAAAAACTGCATTGATGAGATCTTCCTTGGAATCAAACTGATCTACCAATAAACCTCTGGGTCTCCAAAGAAGCTGTGTCACAGCAACTGTGAAAGAAGGTACATTGTAAGGCACAACAAGACTTGAAAAATCATCACTACTAATAAAGAGAACTGTTAGGTCATTTTCAATCTTTACTTTTTGGCCCAATAGTTTAAAAAAAAGAAGCTTATTTTCTTCTTTTCTTTTCTGATAACATTATAAACTGGGGCTATAAATGTAATTTAATCGATAAGTATAAATTGTTGCAGACAACTATACACTATTTTTTCAAGTTTATCATGAGTTACTTCTACTAGTCCTAGAAAAATACAAGAAGAATTTCCAGTTTTGTTCTATGCCCAAGACAGTTCCATGACAAAAATAACTGAGGTGCTGAACATTCAGTATTACCTCGAACTCTCCCATTAGATCTTATATGGACATCATCCGGCAAAAACTTGTTAAGAATGTCACGTAGAACAGCCTGTGCATCGAGGTGAAATAAGAGAGATAAGAAGAAAAGAGAAAATGTAAGGAGAGAAAGTGATAGATGTGATGGATGATGAGATAAAAAAATGAAGAGTAAGATAGAAAGAAAATGGGGTAGAAAGAATTGAAAAGAAAGAGAAAACATATGTATAATGAGTATTCATAATACGACAAAAGAAGAAAAAAATATCAAATAAGTATTTATATGAAGTGCACACCAACGGGCCCATATACACCATGCTAGCCAATAATAAATTGAGGTGAAACAAGATACCCTTGAATCTCCAACCTCAGGCACCAAAGATATGCATAGAATGTACATTGTCACATGCATTTTTCTTTCTTTTGGGAAAACCTTCAAACCTAGACAGCAGAAATTGTTCCCCAAGTGAATGGGCACACCTACTGCTCACCAAGCACCTCAAACAAACTATTTCATAAAGAAGAGACTGCCTTACGGCACAAAAACAAGTATTGAGTTGTTTCTGAACTAGGGAAGCACATAATACACACATCAAGAGAAAGATCAATGTAAGGCTTACAAACTTGCAACAGATCATTCATAAAAATCCAATCAAGTACTGCCATCCAGACAAAAGACACGAGTTTAGGAGTTTTGGATTACTTAATTAGCTTGTGAATAAGGAATATCTAAAATTATTAGAGTGAGTAAAAAAAAAATCACACTAGAAGAGTCGTTGTCTAAATATAGCAGAAGGAATTCTTGATCACTAAATTCCTTATTTTTAATCATAAAATCCAAAGATATAAGAATTTTGAGAATGAATAGACATATCACGCAAGGTACATAGATGGTCAAGGTGGAGAAAACCCTGTAAGAATGAAGCATTTCCAACCCAAACATAGGCATTGCAATTATCAGCATTCGAGCCCACCAGACCACTCTATGTAGCATATAACATCATTTAGAAAATCACCAATAATCTATAATATCTAAATGTTACAAGAAAGAAAGACAATAAACAAGCACGAGTAACAAAGACCAAACATACAAAGTAGTCTGAGAATAGAGGAATACCCCCAGGCGAAATGCAGTCCCCCGATTCCGACAATCTTCAGCCAATAGTTTAGTAGCAAGCAGAGCTTCTTCCATACTTGCGCCAGAAGCAATCACAGCACAGACTATAGCTCCGGCAGAGGAACCAGCTAACGGTGTGGTTTCCTGCACATGCATCACAATAGTCACTCTCATTATATTAGACACTCAACAATATATAAATCCAATATATACAATAAAAGGATAATACTTACATGCAATGTTGTTGGTATCAGAATTAGAGTTTCACTTCAATTATATGCGTAATAAAAGATTTTATTAAATATCAAGGCATATTATGAAGTAAAACTTCAATTCAACATGAACTAAATACTGTAGCAAAGTTACGTCTTACCTTTGCCACCTTAATTGAAAAGAAAATATAAAAATGAACTGACCTTGATGTAACCATTTTGAATGAGAAACTTGGCAACCCCGAGATGGTAGGGGAAGAGAAGTCCGGCGGCGGAGAAGCTAAAGCCAGGGGTGGTGACGACGCGGCTATACCTATTCCGCTCCGCCTCAACGTCTTTCACTCTCTGCTCCCAAACCACGTCGGGATCGATCTCATCCTCCACCAACGCGCCGATTCTCTCTTTCTCGTACACTTTCCCAGGATTCTCGAACATGGCTACCGAAGCGGAATCGCCAGCAGGGGAGCTTACCCTGTTGCGGCTCTTAATCAGCCGCGTCGCCAGCCCCAGGAAAAGCTCGCCGGTGGCCACGGCGAAGGATTTCTTGACGGTGGCATCGTTCTCGACCCCTCCCTGAGGAGGCTGGGGTGGCGGAGAATTGGAGGCGAAGCTGAGAAATTGCGTGCGGCGACGGAGAAGAGGGGAATTAGGGTTCAGATTTGCGCAGGGGAAACGGTGAGCGTAAGCATGGGAGGAACAGATACTCGGACCCATCCCTGACCCTGCGCTGCGATACAAACACACTTTTCCTTCTGTTTATGTATGTTCTGTTTGGTTGGTTGGTTTGGTCGGTGATATAACGTTTTGATTTTTTCGTTACTATACCGATTTCCACGATGCATGTTTCTGTCTCACGCGTTATTCTCAATTGGACTTCAGGCCCACTTCAAACAAGATTGCCCAATGGGCTACAAACCCAACGCCTCAAACTATTGCCCAATACCTACACTATTGTCACCCTCCTTTTTCTCTAACTTTGCAACTTTATAATTATCTTCCAAACTTCCTTTGTTAATACTTAGGTTTCAAACAGTGATTGGATATTCTCTATCAAGTGAACTATTCTTTATTTGAGTCCCATCCCATCTTTATAAAGGTCACACAGAATTCTATATATATAAATCTGTTGGTGTATTAAGATTGCACCAAGTCTAAGATAGAGATTGAGTGGAGCCTCTACAGCACATGTGAAATTATGTTCTCTGTCCATCTACTCTTAAGACTTGATATTCAAATGAAATATACATTTAAATATTATCAAATGGATTTTACATTATTTTTAAATATAGTTTAGTTTGATTACATAAGTTGGGTCGATTAATATATGTAAATGTTTTAAAATTTTAACAAAAAAAATATACATGATACAGTAGAAAGAAAGCATAAACTGGCAGAAATTCTAGACAGACAAAGTGGACCACTTCTTGACTTGAATTTTGTTTTGGCTCAGGGATAGCTTTACTTCATGCCAGAAAAGTGAAGATTGAAGACACCACGAACGATTCTTGGAGAATCCACGTCAAAGAGGGACTCTATAGGATGGATCCACCATTTTCAAGATGAACAGATTACCTCTATTACCTCTTGATATTCTGTCAGGTTCAGGCATATAAGAAAGAAATTCAGCATGGAATTAACCCCGGCCTTGTATATGCATGAAAAATTACTATTTTGAATTTGTGTATGCTTTGAAATTGTGACAGGCAAACCCAATATTTGACCATATCCTATATTTCCATTAATAGTGAAATGAAAGGCGAGCATGTGAGACAAGGACAGTAAATTCTATATCACTGACTTACCGTAAATCTTCATCTAAATAAGTAATTTCCAACTGACCACGACCACTCCCAGGTGATTTAATAGGTATCTGTACTTAGCATAATAGACTCATTTCTCAGTAAAAAAAACTTGACGAATTGCAAAAAACAAGTGGAAGAAGAAGAATATAGAAAGAACGAAACACCATCATGGTATGAATGTTTAAGGAACATGAGAATCTTACTACTGTACAAGTGCAATAAAAACCATTTACTTTATTCTTTTAACAGTAAAACAGATTCATCAAAGCACAAACCATGGAACTCTTCAACATGATCAATTAGCTAGACTATAATAACTAGTCTGGAGTATACTGCCTGAAATGAATGTCACTCTTAGCCTAAGTTACAAAATAGCTGGTGGGGCAGTGGCACAAACACATAATACATATTTTCAAGTATAAAATGTAATTCAAGATTCATCTATGCCTTTGTTTGAGATTCTCAAGTTTTAAATTTAAATGCATTTGAGTTCATCGTAAGAAATTGCAGCTAATTGTGGAGTTTTCAACAATTTATTAGTCTTTAAGAAGTTTTCTTAATAATGACAGATAGGCGTAGGCCAAATATGAAAAGTAATTACGAGTAGTAAATCACCTACCAGACTAGCTATCTTGAAGAAGTCAAACTTGACAGCCACCCTTCTCGAGTTAAGAGGCACTAAATTCGCAATGGCCTGCAATAATAGTGGCACGATGTAGACTCCAAAGCATTGTAAATTTAATGGAGTTGAGCAGACAAATTACTGGTAAATGGTGACCAATTGTTTACCTTCTATAACTTATACTGTTAGCTCCAAATATTTGTTTATCAAAGACTTTAAAACTGGTCACTAAAATGACATATTATAACAAGCCATGCTGCAGATACTACATACATTCATACTCGAAAGAATTCAAATAAACAGCTTAAGCTCTGAAGTCTGAACTGAATGGACTCAAACCATTTTGTTGAAACTTGAAATCCCCACTTAAATTTAAGCTCAAGTGCCCAACTGAAAAAAGTAATATTTAGATCCACTGGCTGGCATGTAGTATGTATGGACAAAGAGTAACTGGAAGTGCCACTTGTAACTTAGTGCTAGAGTGGTAAAAATACATGTGTGACTCTGTGTACATATCAAGTATGCCTTAACCATTTATCTCAAACACCGAGTCCAAGATGATGTCTCTAGACTTGTCAAGCTCATGTTCATCTCAAAACAAAATCATATCAGAATAAGTTGCACTGAGAAAATCCCCAGGGTTTCTTGAATTCTTCTAGATAACAGTGAAGTGTGAACAACTCATGTCTTGGCCAGATTTTGATCCCATTTCAACTACATAAATTTACACAACTTTCACAAGAAACCACAACTGATCATATTTTGGGATGTGAAAAGTCCGTTCCATATTAAGTTTCTCTTCAACTATATGACCAGTTGATATACTTCATGAACGCCATTACATGAATAATAGCTGAAGTATAGGACAGAATTAGCATTACCTAGTATGTACAAAGTAAAAACCATATAACAAATACTTAAAATAGTGGTTAGAACTTAGAACTGTAGTACCTGGTTGTAGAACGGCCAAGTTTCTATATTTTGAGCTCTCAATGTATCCACATTAATTGCCTGATAGATCTTTCCATTTGGTCGCAAGAATTTTGGTCTCTAGGATAGATAATTCAACAATTAATTCTCTCTTTACTTAGGTAAATGAATAAAATTGAAAACGATGCAACAAAATCAGTCATATTATTCTAACAAGTGAAGAAAGAGAAAAAGGAAGAACGACTCCTGTGTGTAATTCTTGTTTGAAGTGAAATCAACTAAGGAACGATGTGACCTATATAAATCAAGCAAGATTGACTCATTCATAACTGATGTGATTTGATCTAGGTCCCAACTATGAAAATTTTCCTCAGCTACATTGAGAACTGACAAGTCATAAAAAATTCAAAATAGATAATTAGACCACAAGGAGTGGTCTCAAAATTCACATTTCCAGTACAACAAAAATGCAGCTAATTAGCACATTCTGATGAGGGTGTTGATTATATTTACTTAAAACAAAAAATGCCTTTATTATCTATGTCACAATTTCATCAGAATCTAGAACACACACATACAAGTTAATCATGAAACCTTTATTTGTTTTGTATATCAGGAAGAACAGCAAGGAAATGTAAAGGTGCAAAAGGAATCTGAATTTGTAAGCCCCTACAGACAAACCTGTGTTTGCAGAATTGATTGAGATGTTGTATACAAAAGCTCCCATTTCCCATTGAGCAAATCAGACTTGAGAGGCTCCTTAACACGATTCACAGCTTCAAGTTTACTAGCAATCTAGATAATAAGACCCACACCCACTTATAATCACTAACATGGAAACCAAAAAAGACAGTGAAACAAAATCACTTAAATTATGCACGGAACATGTAACATGTTAGTTGCTAGTTTTCACTTGAACAGTTGAACCTGGTCCACACGTTGTTGGTTCTCAGGAGTAGCCTCGGCACCTCGATCAAGGGGTGCAATTGTTTCAAAGAGCTCCAACTTGAGGCTCTGAACATCTTTGCCTTTAGTGAGAAAACCTGGGAAAAATGAAACCATGTTCCTCCACTTGCCAGAATCACCTACTTGTAATATGAGGTGTGTGGTGTTCAATTTTGGTCGTGAGGATGAGAATAGAGGATTTGGCTTTGAAGGGTTGGAATCAGTTACACATTTGAATGGAAGAGTAGCTGTGGGAGTGAAAAGAGCCATGAAGAGATGGGTTATGCTAATGCACTGCCAACCATTATAATTGGTTGTAAAGTGAACATGTGTTATGTAACTATATAATAACAAGAATTATATGTTACTGAACAATTTTATGCTCAAAATATGAAAATGATTTCAAAAGATTATATATTTCACCATATAACACTTTCATCAAAATTAACATACCACATGATTGACAAATAACTTTTTTTTTTTCCTATAGTATCATATTTGTGTATATAGAAAAATATATGTTTGAAGAGGTCTTGAAATACATCTCGTTGTGTCAAAGAATTAATCCTTTATTTCCTGTTAAGAGTACTCTTGTTAAAAAACCAAAAATAACAAAAATCAATCATGAATTCAGTTAATTAAACTTTATGACTCGACAAAATTTTAAGATAGGCCAAATCTCTCACATCTCCTAGAGTCCAACATACAGAAACCAATGGGCCTAATCATTCAGCCCACGTTTATTCCTCCAAATTTTTTCCTTCCCTATACTTTTTTCTCATTCCATCTGGTACGATACAGACACACGGTGGCACACGACTGTAAGGTACACTTGCCAATTGCTCATAGATTAGTTTAATTTTTTTTTTTCCATGGATTAAGAGCACAGGAGAACGAGTTCAAAGTTTTTTTCTATAAAAGTATTACTTAAAAAGGTATTTTCCTAATTCAAATTTTGAAAGAATTCAATGGCATGATTTATTTAAATTTTCCATAAAATAATATATATATATATTTCATTTTGAATCAGAATCACTTCATAGTTACGCAGAGTTTGAGTTAATGAAAATTTTCTCGTTATTTAAATTTTGAGATTGTTTAAAAGAGATGAATCACATTTTTATTTTCGTAACATAACACTTTTGTACTTTCATTTTCTTTATCTTATGAAAGGATTTCTCCTTTATTTATCGCAACAAAACACTCCATAATGGTGAGTAGTTGCAAATGCGATTATTCAATCCCATATCTTTATATGCTACCACTTGAAAAAAAAAACCTTTTTAACTTTTTTTATACAAAAAAAAAAATCCCCCTCTAACTTAAACAACTATTTAGTAGTCAAATGCAGATTTAAATGTGATTTTAATTATCATAAAATAAATAAATTTTAATTTTATCTCTGTAAATTTTTATTTTTATTTTCCATTCGTCTGAAACTTTATAAAAACTATATAAAAAAAATAGATTATAAAAGTTGCTTATTTTATAGAAATTAAAAAACATATTTAAGTCTTAAATGTAAAACTTATTTAATATCAAAAAACATTTTGAATAAGTTTAAAACAATTCTTGTATTTTGCAAATAAATATTAAAAATAAATGATTATTAGACAAGATTGTTTGAATTCAAAAAAATACTCATACAAAAAGTGAGAACTTATAGATTTTTTTTATGTTGTCACGTTAATTATTTATATGCATGTGACTTAACAACTTTCACTTAAGATTGTTGTTGAGATTAATATGCATGTGATTTGAACACTTTCACTTAACATTGTTGTTGAGATTTTATTGCAAGCATAATAAATCAATTATAATATAGAAATTGAGTAAGAATTGTCAATTTAGATACACTTTGTACATATTTTGTAATATCTATTATCCTAATTAAAACTTGTAATAAAAAGATGTACAATGGAATATAAACATGCTCATTTCAATCTTAAGTTTGTAAAAAAATATAACAAGTCAAATATTGGTAAAATTGAGAGATAATAGTACAAAAAACTATTGAGATTGAGTTTTGGTTATTTCACCCTTATGATCTCTTAGGAATATCTATATATGATTTATATCATTCAATATTATTAAGTTCATTAAAATCATTTCAAATCAATTTCTTGTATTTAAAAACTTCAAGGAATTCAACTTAACAAATGACTCCTCTACTTATCAAAATAGAAACATTGCATCAAGTTTAAGAATTTAATCAACTAACAGTTCCAAAACTATCCTTGATCTTTAGAGTTATTAGGTGCTTTGATTCAAAACCAGATTTAAAAAATGTCTTCAAATCAAAATCAAAATCTAAGATTAAAGATAAGTAATAAAGTCACATTAGTATTAAAAACATAATCAAATTCACTAATACTGAATAATACATTCAACCCCAACAAAAAAGAAAGATTAGTCATGCACAGTGATGAAAGTCAATTCAAAATACTGTACATGAAGAAGGTGTAGAAAAAAGAGTAAGTAATCATAAAATCTTCGTTCCTAGTTGATTCTTGAACTCCTTTGTTGCTTTGCTATTTTTGCTTTATTCTCCTTGATAATTCCTCTATTTTTTTGTCCCTTCTTTCTTTAAATATGATCAACAAAGTATGAAGGAGAAAAAGTAAATTGTTCAACCCTTTCAAAAATAGTTGCTAAAAAACTCTATTAGTAAAGCCCTTTTGAAATTACTAAGCCCTTATAAGACCAATTTTCACCTTTCTTTGGGCTTGGTGTGCTCAGTCATTTTCAAATGGTTGAGTTGTTTTGATTCTACTCCTTATCGTGCTTTATGTCTTTGATCTACTTAACCCTTTTCAAACAATTGAACGATTTTGAGTGTTTTAAAAATTTGAATTTTCATTGACTCCTACAAGATATGAAACAAAGGTTTATTAGTAAAATGCACATCAATTCTTTACAAATTACTTAATTACACATCCTTTTGAATTTTTTAATATTTTAGAGATTAAATTATAAGTTTCTTTTAAACCTACTTAAATAAGTGTTAAATTAATTGATCAAACATTTAAAATAAAATGGACACTTATGAATTATATATCAATATTAATGCATTATAGTTATACAAATTTGTTAGTTGAATAAAAATTATGAATTTTTAAAAAATGAAAAACTAAACTTACATAATTAAAAATAGAAATACCAAAATTAAAGATTAAGAATTAAAAAGAAAAACATAATACACTTTAGCGAAAATTTAATTTAAGTTCTAGAATGTTCTTTTTAATAAAGTAGTTTTGAAGTTTTCTCTGGAATGAAAAATTCTAATAAAAAACAAGACACCAACTGAACTGTATTTTCATTATCTCATTTTGCAGAAAATTTATAAATTGACAAATACCACTATAGTGATTCCACGTAACTATTGTTTTGTATGAGAATTATTTGTGAAAATGTAAATGAATATGAAGGCCTTACACAGGAGAGAAAAAAGATTATAATGTTTGGCAAAAGACGGTTGATTTAATAAATGTTTAGGAAATAAGTAAGGTGAAATGTATGAGTATGGAGTTAGAAGGTTGTTAGGAGAGGACAAGCATATGTGAACAATCCAACCACCGAGAAAGTTGCTACGTACTATCAAATTCTTGGTGGTTACTGGTTGGATGCTTCTTCAATTTTGTTTTCTCTCCTTCTTCTGCTCGCTTCTCACAAAACCCACACGCTTCCAACATCATTTCCCCTACTTCGCTACATATTATATATTAATACATAAATTTCCTATTAATTTATCTTGTATGTTAAATAATTTTTTTAGGAAAAGGGGAGTGATCAATCTATTGATATATATACTCTCCATTAAAGAAAAATATTATTATTATTATTATTATTATTATTATTATTATATTTTAAATTGGATATTTTTTATGCTTAAATTAGTTATTTGCATATTTGTATCTTTTTTATTTTTATATCTGCTTGAACTTAATATGGAATGTTTTACAGTTAGAGATAATGTTTAATGTATATGATAAGTATTTTACATACATTTAAAAATAATTGTGAAATGCATGAAATGAGGATAAGAATGTATCTTTATCTTAGCTCTTAATAATGTTGTCTCCGTAGTATTTTTTTTATTCCATGATTTGCATATTTTTGTATTAGATCAAAAAGCGAGAATATCTTGATCGAGGGTCCATAGGATCTTGATTAATTTTTTCTTCTATTCAAAAAATTAAATATTTTCTGGAAAAGGATTATTAGAAGAGGTAAGTCCTTCGAGTAAATTTTCGTACTTTGAGTTATTAGTTCTTAATTTTCAAAAAGAAATATTTCTTAATTTGACACAAAATGAATATTTCCACCAAAATATCAAAATAAAATATATATTTTTTAATTAATGAGTCTTTCTTCAGATTTGATTGTAAATCTCTCCCTCTTCTTCTTTATTATTTCTCTGATCGACCATATGGCACTGTGGCTATCAATTCCCTGTAGTTCTTATGAAAATAAATATTATATTATTCTTTATTCATATATGGTTTATTTCAATACAACTGGCCAATTTGTATATCCGTTGTTCTCTACCTAATATTTGTTACGGTTGTTGTCTCTTTTTCATCTTAATAATATATATATATATA